AAAGAATAGCACTGTGAAAATGTTAAAATCTGTAGCATCGAAATTTTGTATTTAATTTAATTTAAAAAGAAATTTTTTTTTACAGAAATTAGATAAATAACAAAATATAATTACAGAAAATTTTGTGACTCTTCGAGGTTTGAATTTTTGTATCATTTAGTTAAACTTAATCTTTAATTGTTCGCCATTTTGTTTCTAGTAGGAGATCCATGTTAAGAAATTAATATGCTAAGGAATTTATTACAAATTTTAAATGACACAAGATTTAAAAGAATGAAACAATAGTACTGTGAAAATATTAAAACTTATAGTGTTGAAATTTTTTATTTAATTTTGAAAGGAAAGATATTTCTTCAATTTCAAAGAAATTAGACAAATAACACGGAAATTAATTAGAGAAAATGTATAACTCCTTGAGATTTTAATTCTTGTAATCCTCTTTCTTTAAGCTTGATCCTCAATTGCCCGCCATTTTGCTTCTAGTAAGAGATTCATGTTAAGAAATTAATATGTTAAGAAGTCTAATATAAATGTGAAATGATATGAAATTAAGAAAACGAAGCAATTGTATTGTAAAAATATTAAAACTTGAAATTTTACAATTTTTATTTCATTCAAAAAGAAAATTTGTTTTAAAGAAATTAGATAACAAAAATTAGTTACAGAAAATTTTTAACTCCTTCAGATTTGAATTCTTGTAATTTTTATTTAAGCTTCATCCGCCATTTTGTTCAAAATACGTGATCCACGTTAAAAGAATTAAAATGCTAATAAATTTAATGTAAATTTTAAATGATGCATAATTGAAAAAAGGGTCAATAATATTATAAAAATATCAAAATTTGAAAGGCTAAAATTTTTCATTTAATGTAAAAAGAAAGAAATTTCTTTAATTTAAAAAAAAAATAACTAAATCAGAAAATTGATGACCTGAGGTCTGAAACTTTTGTAATCGCCTTTAAACTTGATACTTAATTGCCCGCCATTTTGTTGCCAGTAGAAACTCCATGCTAAGAAATTTACTATAAACCTCAAATGACACAAAATTAAAAAAAAAAGATAGAAACAATAATATTCTGAAAATATTAAAAATTCCAACATTGATATTTTTAATTCAATTTGAAGTTTCAACTAGAAACCTAAAATATCTAGAAAATCGTCTCCGAAATTTGAGATCCGAAACTCTTATAACACAACCCGGAAAATTAGAGTTCACCATAGTAAATAAAGCAATGAATTTATGTCTCCATATACCACGACACGTGTGGACACCTGACAATGTTTTACTTTTATAGCGCGGATGTGGTCCCATATTTTATCTACCGGTGTAAATAAACAAGAACGCGAATTCAGTGACAAACTTTTTGTCCGCCGCGTGTTGCCGCGGAATTCGAAGTGGCGGACTCCATAAAAAGAAAACGGAAAAACAAATATGAAATGGGAGAAAAAAATTGACGCGAAAAAATGTTTCGTCCGGAAAAGTGATAGCGACTGTAAATTGAAAAGTGTCGTTTCGAGTTGGCGAGTCTTCGCTTTCTGACTTTGCCATGCATGTTGCTTTTCCTCCGCGAAATATACGAGCTTCCCGTCTGCGTTTTACCGCCAAAAATTCAAATGTACTCTCTACAAGAACGAATGGAAGAAAGAATTTGAATGTTGTATGTACAACTTTATTTATAAATTTAACAACTACATTTTGATAAACTCAAAATCTATCATAGTACAAAGGGTTAAATTATTATATTGCATGGAATCAATGTTTCGCAATCGGAATTACACGTGTATTAATTCTGACGTCAAAATTCAAGAATCAAGCACGTGGTCGCGTTCGCAATACATGTAAATTACAGGTATTGATTATGCAAGCATGTTTTCGTAATTGATCTTACCAGCATCAGTATAGAATTACGATGGCAACTTGGAATCTGTCAATAGATTATCCGATCGATTAGTTTGTTCGCTGGTTAACGAAACATTTGATGGACAAGATATTACAGAATTCTCCTTTGTTATTTTTACTTTTTGTATGATGGAACGCATATATCAATTATTTATGGAGAATTGCAAATCAGTGGAGCTATTTACAATTTAATTTGTTATGCTGAGAAAATTGAGAAATTTGATGTTGAAAGATTTGTAGAATGTGTGTGGTTTGTACGATACTGGAGTTTAAAAATTAAATAATATTGTAGTTATTTTATTACAAAATTAATATAATACTATATTACATCTTGTGAAATCTCTATATTCTGAAATTTTATAACCCAAAATACCTACGTCCTGAAGTTCCTACGTCCCAAGATCTCTATGTCCTGAAATTTCTGTATTCCCAAATTTCTGTGTTCCCAAATTCTTATGTTCCAAAATTCTTATATCTCAAAATTTGTATATTCCAAAAGTTCTATGTCCCGAAATCCAATTGTCCCAAAATTGCTACGACCCAATATTCATATGTCCCAAAACTCCTACGTCCTAAAATTCATATGTCCCAAAATCCTTATGTCTCAAAACTCCTATGTCCCAAAATTCATATGTCCCAAAATTCCTACGTCCCAAAATTCTTATATCTCAAAATTTCTATATTCCAAAAGTTCTATGTCCCGAAATCCCATTGTCCCAAAATTGCTACGACCCAATATTCATATGTCCCAAAATCCATATGTCCCAAAACTCCTACGTCCTAAAATTCATATGTCCCAAAATTCCTACGTTCCAAAATTCTTATATCTCAAAATTTCTATATTCCAAAAGTTCTATGTCCCGAAATCCCATTGTCCCAAAATTGCTACGTCCCAAAATTCATATGTCCCAAAATCCATATGTCCCATAACTCTTACGTCCCAAAATTCCTACGTCCCAAAATTCTTATATCTCAAAATTTCTATATTCCAAAAGTTCTATGTCCCGAAATCCCATTGTCCCAAAATTGCTACATCCCAAAATTCATATGTCCCAAAATCCATATCTTCCAAAACTCTTACGTCCCAAAATTCCTACGTCCCAAAATTCTTATATCTCAAAATTTCTATATTCCAAAAGTTCTATGTCCCGAAATCCCATTGTCCCAAAATTGCTACGTCCCAATATTCATATGTCCCAAAATTCCTACGTCTCAAAATTCGTATGCCCCAAAATTGATACGTCCCTGCATCCCTAAATCCCTATATCCTCAAATCCTCCTATAACCTTAACATTTTTTCAAATTTCCATTCTAAAAATTTATTTCTCACCAAAGTACTATAATAAAATATCAGTGTGCCTCACAAAAAATGCAAATGTAAAAATTTTATTATACCTTTTTGCTTTAATTGAAATGTGAGATACGAACATATGTAATTTATATTCTATTCAATTTCCTACGACTTCCTTCCGGATTGTGAATATTTATCGTGAAGTATAGGTGGATTTTCGGGACATAAATATTAACCTGGTAGATTTGAAAAGCAGCTGGTTAACTGAGATTCTACTTTATTGCACCCGTCGTGTAACACGAATTATTCACGGAACGTTTTCGGTGTCAAGCTCAGCTACGATGCAGCTGAGTTTAAATCAGTTTTTGCTCGGAAGAAAAGCGTTTTCAATTTGTGAATCTGAAACGACTTCTAACAATGCATATTTCATAATTGTGAACGAAATCTTGTGCGAGATTGAAGGTGTGTTTTAATAAACGTTATAAAGTTATTATTTTACAATGCTTCCTTCTTGGATGTAATTTGAGATTCTTTTGTGGAAGTTGATGAAATATTGAGTTACTCATTTTGTTCTTGAAGATGAATATATTTATGTATTTGATAGAATTAATTATGTGGTAAATGTTAGGTTGTGTCAAATAATTCAGTAGATGAAGAAATTCTCTTTTAATTTCATGACAGAAAAGTTTTTCAAAATAGCGATTGTGATACATCAAATTAAAGCTAAAAGTTCATAGAAAAGGACTATGTAAATGCTTTATAAGTTATTATGAGGTATAATGGCGGATTGTTGGTTAGAATCAAATAATGTCAGAATTTAAAATTCAGATAAACCTGATTTATGTCATCAAAATTTCATGACAGAAAAGTTTTTCAAAATAGCGATTGCGATAGCTCAATTTAAAGCTTAAATTATAAAGAAAAAGACCGTGTAAACGCTTTATTAATTATCCAGACGTAAAATGGCAAATTGTTAATTAGAGTCAAAGAATGACAGATTTTAAGATTGAGTTAAACTTCATTTCTTTCATAAAAATTTCATGACATAAAAGTATCATTAAATATCACTTATGGTATACCAATTTAAAGCTTAAAGTATCGTGAAAATGACTATATGCATGCACCATTAATATTCCTATTACAAAATGGCGGAATTTTTATTTTAAAACATAACGAGTCAAATAACGTCATCTGTATGATACGTTACACTTTTGTATTATATATGGACTGTTTTAGCAAGAAAGTAATAAAACCCATAAACTGTGGATTTTCCATGGAAACAGGAGTGAAAAATTCCTCTATCATTTTAAGATACGTAGGTCACAAGATGGAGATATATGAGAAGTAAATAAAAGTAAGACATTCGTTAATGAAGAATTCCAGAAAATGAATTACTAAATTTATTTATTTGCTAGAAGAAAGAATCAGCTCACTTCTGTTGAAAATATCAACTAAATAGTCCTTGTCAAAGCTTAAACTTTAAATTGACACACAATAATTGCCATTTTATAATTCCTTTCTGTCAAGAAATCAAACTCGACCAACTCGCAACGCGAAATATCTAATATTTATTATCTCACGTAACAATTCCTATATCGAGCAAATAATTTCCAATATCAAAATTGTTATTAATTTCTCAAACACGAAACGTGCTTCTATTAATCTTGTATCAAGTAAAATTCAAGAAAATTGATAGAGAAACCTCGCCTCTATCAAAGGAATCGCGATCAAACAGTGCTTTGGCACGATGCTCGATATAAAACAGATTGTTCCATGAATATTAAAGGGATGAGCGGGGCGATAAATTACCTGTTATACATGAGAACATCAGGCTTCCAAAGTCTGTGTGGCGGAATCCTAAGGTCTCGTACTCCTCCGTAATCCGACGTGTTCCATCGCATGTTCACATCATTCCATTCCTGTAATTGGAAACAATTTCAACTTTAACACTTCGCTAATCGATTGCAGGATGTTCCTAAGCCTTTCACTATGACATATGTGTCTTCCAAAAATAGAGTCATGTATGTAGATATGTAGGTCTGTTAAGATTGAATTGTGGACATTTCAAAATTATATATGATTTAGAATCATGTATGAACATTTCATGGATTTTCCATGGAAACAGGAGTGAAAAATTCCTCTATCATTTTAAGATACGTAGGTCACAAGATGGAGATATATGAGAAGTAAATAAAAGTAAGACATTCGTTAATGAAGAATTCCAGAAAATGAATTACTAAATTTATTTATTTGCTAGAAGAAAGAATCAGCTCACTTCTGTTGAAAATATCAACTAAATAGTCCTTGTCAAAGCTTAAACTTTAAATTGACACACAATAATTGCCATTTTATAATTCCTTTCTGTCAAGAAATCAAACTCGACCAACTCGCAACGCGAAATATCTAATATTTATTATCTCACGTAACAATTCCTATATCGAGCAAATAATTTCCAATATCAAAATTGTTATTAATTTCTCAAACACGAAACGTGCTTCTATTAATCTTGTATCAAGTAAAATTCAAGAAAATTGATAGAGAAACCTCGCCTCTATCAAAGGAATCGCGATCAAACAGTGCTTTGGCACGATGCTCGATATAAAACAGATTGTTCCATGAATATTAAAGGGATGAGCGGGGCGATAAATTACCTGTTATACATGAGAACATCAGGCTTCCAAAGTCTGTGTGGCGGAATCCTAAGGTCTCGTACTCCTCCGTAATCCGACGTGTTCCATCGCATGTTCACATCATTCCATTCCTGTAATTGGAAACAATTTCAACTTTAACACTTCGCTAATCGATTGCAGGATGTTCCTAAGCCTTTCACTATGACATATGTGTCTTCCAAAAATAGAGTCATGTATGTAGATATGTAGGTCTGTTAAGATTGAATTGTGGACATTTCAAAATTATATATGATTTAGAATCACATGTGAACATTTCACAATCACATATGATTCAGAATCACATATAGAGAATAAGAGGATACAGATACGTTGAGAACCACATATGAACATGTCATGATCATACATATATGATTTAGAAGCACATATGAACATTTCAGAATCAAATATGTTTTAGAATCACGTATGATTTAGAATCACATATTATGAAGAATAACAGGATACAGATACGTTAAGAACCACGTATGAACATTTGAAAATCACATATGATTCTGAAATCAATCACATATAATTCACATATGATTGCATGTTTCACATATGTATACTGAAACATATATTTGAATGAACTATTTTCGAACTGCAAACTGTGTAGAATAAGCACAGTATTTTCTTTATTTCTGAACGTACTAACAATTAATATATGTAATAAAAAGTGATACAGTTACTTCACATATGTGACAATACTCATACGTTACACAGAAGTATTCAAGTTTGTATAACGTGACTTCGACATACAATATTGCTTCCGTTCCCGAACAGATCTCTAACCGTGCGGTATACATTACAAAGAATGGATTTCGTGAGAAAACTGAGAAGGTTCCGTATACCCTTCGGAAAGAAGACAAATGCATGCAATCTTGTCATTCGACCCACGGAACGACGTAAACGAATTTTCAAAGTGCATCGCTATGCAAAAGCAACCGAATCCAGAGCGAAAGTCGCGATACGAAAACTGACAGAGTTGCCCCCCATAGAAATGCCCCTTGATCCTTCGATTCACTCGCACGACGACGGGAAATCTTCGTAGATACCTTCGAGGACCTTTTTCTACTTTCCGACTTCTACAATCAATCTTACGAAAGCCACTTCGACAACTGGTCGAATTCCTACGACAGTGCATTTGGAGATTCCAGAAATTTTCACTTTGAACGTCCAACTTTATCTGATTGCAATTACTGGGTTAGTACGGCGATTTTTACTTGGGTACTGATGGTATCGATGGGCTGAGAGGATATAGGAGCTATGGACACTATAATATTTCATTTAGGTCAAAAACTGATACATTGTTTCTATGTTGGAATAATTCAAAGTTGCAGTAAATGCAGCGGTGGATTAATGAGGTGGTTAAGTGAACTCTAAACTCTATTATACAGGGTGTCTCACAATTAGTGTAAGTCCCTGAAATGGGGGGTAACTGACGTGATTCTGAATGAAATTTCCCTTTGTTGAAATGGGGTTTGAAGCTTCGTTTTTGAATTATTAAGGAAAAACACAGACCAATCAGAGCGCGAGGATTATTACGCGTTGGTTTTCTACGCGTTAGATTACTACGCGTTAGATTTCTACGCGTTAGATTACTACGCGTTAGATTTCTACGCGTTAGATTACTACGCGTTAGATTTCTACGCGTTAGATTACTACGCGTTAGATTTCTACGCGTTAGATTACTACGCGTTAGATTTCTACGCGTTAGATTACTACGCGTTAGATTTCTACGCTTAGAATTACCACGCGTTGCATAACTACGCGTTGAACTGCTACGCGTTGAATATCCACGCGCTGGATTACTACGCGTTAGATATCCACACGCCAGATTACTACGCGTCAGATTACTACGCATTAGATTCCTACGCTTAGAATTACCACGCGCTGCATTATTACGCGTTGAATTACTACGCGTTGAATATGCACGCGTTGGACTGCTACGCATTGAATATCCACACGCTGGATTACTACGCGTTAGATATCCACACGCTAGATTACTACGCGTTAGATTACTACGCATTAGATTCCTACGCTTAGAATTACCACGCGTTGCATTATTACGCGTTGAATATGCACGCGCCAGATTACTACGCGTTGGATATCCACACGCTGTATTACTACGCGTTGGATTACTACGCGTTGTGTTACTACGCGTAGGATTACCACGCGTTGCATTACCACGCGTTGCATTACTACACATTGGATTACCAAGCGTTGGATAACTAAGCGTTATCCGAAGCTGCCACTCTCGCATCTGCGCATGCGTAACCCTCGCGCTCTGATTGGTCCGTGTTTTTCCTTAATAATTCAAGAATGAAGATTCAAATCCCATTTTTACAAAGGGAAATCTTATTCAGAATCACGTCAGCTACATTTCATGGACCTACACTAATTATGAAACACCCTGTACAAAGATTTATCCTTGTTATCTAATATTATTTATTCGATCATTCTTGAAGATCATTCCTGATTATTATTTAACCAGAATCAACTACATTTAAAATATACTTTATTCTGAATACATAAGTTTGATGTTAATATTAAAAGAAATTGAATAATTGATGTTTTAGCAACGTTTTACTGAAGATATTATTAAAATTATCTTTGCTTTATTAACCAATAAAAACTTAGATACCGAGATTCCAGAAATGTTAATACGGAACAGTTTGAATAAACCGAATTTTGCGAAAGTGTACTACGCCGATTACATCACACGTTTTAACTGGAAAGTATCGCTTATCTCGAGTTACAGTTAAGGTTTTATTGCATGTACACTGGTGCTGAGGTACAAAACAATGGAAAAGCACAACTGTGTGATAAAACCTCGCTGAGAAACTCTGTGATAAAAGAAGCCACGCGAACTGTATGTTGTAAGTGGGTTTTGTTTTATCAACGAAGAACGAAAAAGGATATTTATGGAATAGCAGCTGGAATATAATGCATATGGAATTTACAAGAGGGAAATTAAAGAGCCAAAAATCTGGAACGTTTAACGCAATTACTTTTAACTGTGGAATGTTTTAGTTCTACTTAACGTTTATTGGAATTTATTGAGCAGTTTTTATTATTTAAATCATTGAACTATCGAATGCTATGTTATTTGGTTGTTAATATATTAAGTTTTCAAATTTATTCATTTTTATGAGGTTTCTAGACTTTCAAATTCCTAGATTCTTAGATTTCTAGGTTTTAAGTTCTCAAATTTCCAAATTCCTCAGATTCCAAATTCCCCCAGGTTCCCAATTCCCCAGATTCCAAATTTTCCAAATTCTAAATTCCCCAAATTCCAAATTCCCCAAATTCTAAATTCTCCAAATTCCAAATTCCCCAAATTCCAAATTCTCCAGATTCCACATTCTCCAAGTTTCAAATTCCCCAGATTCCAAATTCTCCAAATTCTAAATTCCCCAAATTCCAAATCCTCCAAATTCCAAATTCTCCCAATTTCAAATTCCCTAAATTCCAAATTCCCCAAATTCCAAATGCCCCAAATTCCAAATTCCCCAAATTCCAAATTCTCCAGATTCCACATTCTCCAAATTTCAAATTCCCCAGATTCCAAATTCTCCAAATTCTAAATTCCCCAAATTCCAAATTCTCCAGATTCCACATTCTCCAAATTTCAAATTCCCCAGATTCCAAATTCTCCAAATTCTAAATTCCCCAAATTCCAAATTCTCCAGATTCCACATTCTCCAAATTTCAAATTCCCCAGATTCCAAATTCTCCAAATTCTAAATTCCCCAAATTCCAAATTCTCCAGATTCCACATTCTCCAAATTTCAAATTCCCCAGATTCCAAATTCTCCAAATTCTAAATTCCCCAAATTCCAAATTCTCCAGATTCCACATTCTCCAAATTTCAAATTCCCCAGATTCCAAATTCTCCAAATTCTAAATTCCCCAAATTCCAAATTCTCCCAATTTCAAATTCCCTAAATTCCAAATTCCCCAAATCCCTAATTCCCCATTCCCTAATTCTGCAAATTCCGAATTCCCCTAATTTCAATTTCCCCAAATCCCAAACTACCCAGATTCGAAATTCCCCAAGTTACAAATTCCCCAGATCCAAAATTCTCTAGATTCCAAACTCTCCAAATTCAAAATTTCCCAAATCCGAAATCCCTCGTTTTCAATAAAGTAACGTGATAGCCGCTTTGCTATCAACATAAACATGTTTATTCTACGCTAAAATTGCGCCTCCGACTCGCAGAAAATTGTTTTGTTCAAGGGATGAAAGTTTCGCC